TGATTTTCTCGAAAACTATAATACATAGAATAAATCCAAAAGATGCATATGAAAGCTGAATGTTTGCGGAATGTAGCAAGTATAGATACATTCCTGTGCTCTTATCCATATTGCTGTAATACGCGTTCAAATTAGAACGTTGTTGATGTTTTCAAATATTTTTTATAATTTATATTTTATAATTTATAGAATGCGGCTATTCTATGAAACATCCGCGTTACACGTGGGCTTACTGTACTATTATTAATAGAAATTACGTATTTAGAAGATAATTCTAGAAAACATGTTTTGTACGATATAAGTCATGAATAAAATGTATTGGATTTCAATTATCTATACCTTTATTTCGTAAATCATCTCATTGTGCTATTACAAAACGATTGAAACAAATCTCTTCCGATTAATAATTCAAAGACATAACTTAGTGATGTTATATTCATTTAATTGGCAACATTTCATCTGAAAAACAATAGACGAAGAAAGAAAAAAAAACATTGAATGATTCCTCGGTGGATACTAAATGTAATTAATAAGCAAAACGTTTAAATTTGTATTGACAATATGAATCCTCGTGATAATGAACGATTGCTATTCGTGCATCGAGTGAAGATAAATAAATACACGCTGGAAACACATAAAATCAGCCCGATTTTATTATTAACAATAACTGGTAATAATCACAGATTCAACAAAGATTATTATAATTTATACTAGTGAATGGCTAAATAGACCTGCTGCTGCTGCTGCTGCGGCCACACCGCATAAAACTGCTTAGGAATATATTTTTATATATATATATATAAAAAGAAGAGTCCATAAAAAAAACAATCATTTTAATCGATTTTTCTTAAATAATTTACCGCCTATTTATTTCGTCTATTCTATTTACAACACTATCTTATATTGACCTCAAATAGTTGTTTTTTTTTAGGCGTAAAACTTAAAATAGAAAAAAAAAAACCTAAAACACCGTTCAAAAAAAAAATCATCATCATCATCCATCATCATCGTTATTAGGCCAAAACAAAGAAGAAAAATATCATGTTTCCAATTGACAAATCACATGTAAACAATCCTCCTACCTAAATGTTAAATTAAACGATCGAATGAGAGAGAGAAAGAGTAGACGTACACGTTTTTTCCAATTAGATGACGAGACAAAATTGAAAATAATATTAGACAACAATCCTACTATACATATATATATTTGTTCTTTTTAAGTACACCTTCTTCAATCAAGTAACAGTATTTAAAAATTGGACGCTCTTTTTAGGATTGTTTTCGAAAACGAAAGAAGTAACATGTTGTACGTTATTTTCTCTTCTTTTTTTTTGTTTGTTTGTTGTTGTTTAAATCCAATGCGCTATAATTTATATAGTCAAACAATTATTTTTTTGAATTCAATTTCATTACCCGTGTGCTAAGAGTAAATGGCTCAGTCCATATAATATTTATATATATATATATTTTCTTTAATATATACACTGCTTTTGAAATGCGAATGAAGCGATTTCTACCATAGCTCTTCGAACGTCATATTTGAATAAGCCCCGTTTTTCCTCGCCTCCCAGTACTTTCCGTTGTATTCCCAAACGTCGTCTTTATCTTCGGCGCGATGCGAGAACCACAATGGTTCGTGATTGATTTTAGATTCCTCTCTGTGTTTCCTGCGATCCCTTTGCTGCGACTCCAGCTGCAATTTCAGTTGCTCAGCTGCGTTCAAATCGCCTTCCTCCAAAGCGCGTTGATCCGGCCTCAACCTAAACAATCATAATTTACTTTAATTCAGTTTCATTCAATAATATTGCAATAATACCTGGTATCTGTCGGAGGTAGCAGATGCGAATCCGGACCTAACTCGTTCAATTCCATCGCGAAACGTGTAAACCCGTAGTACCTCTCGTGATCAGGAGGCATCGTTCCTGCCCTCCAGATGCATTTCGCAGATGGCGCGACGCCGCAATACAACGCTTCCGACCATTTACCGAACAAATTGCAAACCGTCTTTCCGTTCTCGTCGTAAACAGCTCCAAGGACCTGCAGATGAAACAAGTAATTAGAATAATTGAATTGATTAAAGTTGCGAGGAATGATTGATCTACCTCCTGTCGCTTTGCGGACCAGTAACTAGCCTTGGCGAATGTCAATTTGCAGGAGATGCGTCCGTTGGAGATGTGCAATTCTCCGTACTGATCGACCCATCGCTGACCGCTGAACAAATTGTGAACGCAAGTTGTCACCTTGTTCCACGAGTAGAGATCACCGGTCCTCGGAAGCAGCACGTGCACTTTACCGACTGGTTGGAATTCCATACTTTTGCCCCAGAATTTCGTTTTGATGCGCGCCTCCTGCCAGAACGTGAAGTTGCGGCTCTCAGCGTGGCAAGCGCTTATCGGCGGATGATGCGAGACTTGTTCTGCTAAGAATTTAAATCCTTTATCCTCTCGGATGCATTCGTAGGTTTCGCCGAGAAGAGGATTGAAGGGTTTGTTGCCGGCACGGCTGTAGCTGTTCGCGTACGAAGAAACAGCGAACGCAGCAACTTGAATCATCCTCTCGTAGGGATCGTCCAGCTCCGCCGCTTTGTCCAGCAATTCCGAATACTCCAGCTCCTCGCACAATCGCTGCAGCATGTTCAGAGGTTCGTTCAGAGCGACCGGCATGCTGATCTGAGACAGATCCTTTCCTATGTTTTTGCATAGCAGATTCCAAAGTGATAATCCTTCGGTTCCAGGTCTGGGCGCTGGTAAAATAGTTCTTCTTCCCGTCAAACCTTGTCCGCCGTTTCCTTCGTTGACTACGGAGCTGCTGTTTTGATTGTAATCTCCGCCGAGCTCCGATTCGGAGCTGATACTGCCTTCGCCGCTGGACAAAGAGCCAGCCTCCGAGCTGCTATCCGATCCTCTCGTCCTGATCTCTGCTTCGATATCGTCGGGATGAAGCGTTTCAGCTTTGTCACCGATTTCTTCAGCATCGAAAAACTCGCTACCGCTAACACATGAACTACTGTAACTCAACGAGTTATTGAACGGCCGATGCTACATTCCGTTAACAAATTCATTAATATACGTTTTATCTATTCGATCGGTTATATTTACCGTATCGGAGACCGGATCCAATGACGACAGATCGTTTATATCTGAGAGCTCGTGCACTTTGTTGAGGCGCGTCTTCAGATCAGCGTTCTGCTGAAGCGCCTGATTGAGTGACGTTTTCAGCGAAGCTACGAGCGCCGTGCCGTTGTTACCGCCAGTCATCGACATGCTTTGAACATTGGCTTCCGCTTCGATAGCCGATTTCAAACGGTCCCTTTCCATAGACAAACTCAATGCAACCGCCTTCAAGTTGCCCAAAACTAAAAGAAAAAGAACAAATTGTAAATGTTAATTAAAGATTTTCACTTTTAAACTAACCGTTCTTGGCGAGAAACACGAAATCCTCGCGCGTCTGATTGTCGGGAGCGCAGTACGAATGTCTGTCCATATTGTGATGTTCAGTGGGTAAACTTTGGGGACCAGTTATAATTGCGTGCGGGGCGAGAACTGTTAAGCTGCTTCCGTTTCCTGTTGCGCCTGGCGAAATGGACAGGCCTGTAGTGGAATTGTTCTGCAAAACACACACACAGATAATGTAAATATAAGTATCGAAACGAATACAAAGATTTAGCAAAAAACACGTATGGATAGATTGATAGATAGGATGAAACATGCGGTGGTAAACTCACAGACAGAGGCGACGTATTGTCAGGATCAATGATTGAAACTCTATTGAAGGTCATGGTTAGGTCCACACTGCCACCTTTAGAAGACTTTTTCTTCTTCAGCCCAAATTTCTTTCCCTTTTTCACGTTAGGCGAGAGACCCTCTCCCAATGACTACAACAATGATATATAGCGTGTAAGAACATTGCTTCCAGCAAGTGCGAGCAGAAACTATGTGGATGGACGACACCTTACCTCGGTCTCACCGTAAGCGGAGTTGACCATGCAACCCTGAGATTCAATCGCGTTGAGCAGTCTCGTCAGCTGCGTTAAATTCAGCTCGATTAAAGCAGATTCTCTTTGAGCTTGCTCGATCGGCCCACCGGAATCCAACAGCCAATTTGCCAATCTTGCTCCGCCACCTCCCAATTTCAGACCCCTCGTCAAACTGCCGTCCCTGCTCATTATTTCCGGCGTCAGGGGCATCTCTAAAAGCATAATCATGTAAGTGAAATAATTTCGTCTCCTTCCTTAAAATCGCTTACTTCTAGTGTCTTCCGTTGTGGTGTTGAGATGACTAATTACTTTTGTGCCGTAATTTAAAACGTGCTGACGATACAGCCTGTGAACTGTGAGCTGATCCAGCCAAGCATTGAAGCCCTCCTCTGTTTTAGCTTTCAAATGGTAAATGAACTCTTCGGCGTCGATATCGAGTCGTCTGCGCGTCGCCTTGCTGGAAATCACCGAGAGACCGATGTCCACTGAACCGTGAACCTTGCCCTTCGTCAGCTCTGCAGGTCCTTTACCATACAGCAAAATCCCTTTATCCAACAGGAAGTATCTCTACAACATCACTTTAATCAATATCAATTCGTGAAGAATTACAACAATTTTACCTTATGCCATCCCTTCAAAGGCCATTTACGCTTCTTGTGCAAATATCCGCTGTACGAAGTGGGTTTGTTCTCGTACTTTTGACCATCTTTCAAGCCCTCCATGATCTCCCATTCGGAGCTTCTGCGACGTCCCTTCTTCCTTGCCGGCGGTTTCGGCGGATGGTTGGGTTGCTGCGTTAATTCTGCGCTGTCGGCGCTCAGACTGTTCGTTTCTGCACTCGCATCGCTGTCGCTGGTCGCCGTCTGACTGTGCTTCGTCTTCAGGGTCACCTTGACCGGCATCGGACTTCGCTTCTTCTCCATCGCGCAGATCCTCAAACTCTTCACGATCCGCACGAGACCCGTATGCGCCAAAGAACAAAAGTACTCAATCCTGCTCCCTCCTGTTGTCCTTCCTTTAAAATACGATCGTGTCGTGCTGCTGCTGCTTCTGCTCTATTGTCATCGTGGCAAGGAGGTGACAGTAATTCTGGATAAAAGAAATATACAACATACAGAAAACTTCATAATAACTTAATTGAGACAAACGTGAAAAACAAAATAAAATGTGCGCTGCGCGAAAACTCTGCCAAATTCTTTACCAATTTCGTTAGTCACTCGCTTAAATAGATTTCTAGTAAATCCTCAACAACAATCCTCTTACACCACATTGTATTGATTATCATTTTCTCCTCAATCACAAGATATGAATTAAACATATTTGATTATCTCTATATTATTTTATGGTACGTTACTTTATAAAATTGTCTGAGAATTGAAACATGCAATCAAAACGTTGCGATTTCTTAAACGAATTTAATGGTTTGCATTCACGAATTATGCTTAATTTACTTAGTTCAAGTGGTGTATCATCATCATATTAACAACGTACATGCTCGATGTTCAAGTGCTTTGATTATCCTCAATCTCTTCGAAGAGTACCAATTTATCACCGGTAGTACTTACATCACCCATCCAAATGCAAACAACTTGCTTAACTTTTAAGTCAAATGACACCGAAGATATTTTATTCTCGCGCAAAACTAAATTGAAATAAAACTGCATAAAGGGAAGGGAAAAAACAACAGTAGTTCGTAATTAAGGTGAGCCTTTTCAACAGGTTTAATTCATGTAAGTGCTCCACTTCCATTTGTGATTAAGCTCGTAGGCGTTTCATAGACGCATCTCGACGAATGAGAAGGAAAGTTTATACTTGAAAAAAAAAACTAGGTCAATTTTCAATTATTATTCGCAATTAATAAATGTATAAATTACAAAACGTAATTAAATTGCCATTTTTCACAGTAAATTCTGAACAAACTAAACAAGAATTTTCGTATTCAACTAAATTCGAAGAAGAAAAAAAATAATGTTTTGCCAAATTACATCATAACTAAATATACAGATTTACGCAGCAGAGATTTAAATAATTAAAAGCAACAAAGTGTTGTAATACAATATATATTGGACAACGAATAACAAAAAAACAATTCATTATCAACATCGAAATTAATTTGATACAATCTCCAAAGAAATTGTAAACAAATATTGGATAACACGATATAAAAATAAATGGATCGATTTTTATCAATAAGAAATTATTATTATTTTTTTTTAATCTTATGCTTCAAAAGTGCGATCAGATTTCCCATTGATAACATTACATTAAACAATTAGAAATATTTTCATTACATTTTTTGTTTGTCATTTCTGTTTAAAATTACAGTTGTTACAGCGAGAAAAGTAAGGAAACATCAGGTGTTATAGACTTTTTTTTTTCTTTATGCCTCGTTCGACATTGAAATGAAAACTTGGGCTTAGAAAACTCTATTCAAAGAGTTTACCTGCAATTTCAGGAACTTATAAATATACCTTTTTCAAGTAACTCAGACATTTGGTTTACGTACTCAAATAACCTCAAGATCAGATACATTTTCAAAATTAAACTTATTAAAATTATTGATTAAATTGTGTAACAGTTATTGTATTTTCAGATTCTTTGTTATTTGTGCGTTGAATCATATTGGCTATTATTAGGATTATCATTTAAACACTTAAACATTTGAATAGAACCCTCGAAAAATGGGTAGAATACGTAGAAAAACATCCCGGATTGATATGTCATCAATTTCTCGCGAGAATCTATAAACTATGTCTAATATATTTGTATAAAAGTTGTAAAACATTTTAGAGCTAAATCATCGTTGGTATTTACTACTACTTCCTTTGATAGTCCATATATCATATGTCATATCCCAATGTCTTGGGAAACGTCCAAGTGTAAAATATAAAGAAAAAAAAAACTATTAATATTTCAATGAAAAGTAAGTAACAATAATACGACATTTGTGAGAATAAATAAGCGATTCCTTTGAAATATTTAGAAAATTCTAGAAAGTAATATTCGAGTCGAGTCACTGTTTTTCTCAAATCAACTTCAAATATGCATATTTCAGACGGCATTGAATAATTGATGCGTATCGCATGAAGCAAAACCGAACTAATTGAGTACTTGAAATCCGTTAATTACACATCAAACATGCAATTGTACAAACAAATGCTTTCGGTGGACACATGAATTATTAATCGGAAGAAGTAACATTCGAACTTTTGATGACAAAATTCCCACAAATTGTTTAATTATTTATAATCATTTAATAAATCGTTTGATGTCCGGAGTAACGAGAACTGATTAACAAATATCTCGAGCACTCGAAACAAACTAAATTTAATTTGGAAACTCTCTCCTCTCTCTCTCACAGGTGGTGAGTCAGCGACAATCCGATCGTCGGACCCCTCAAGATACTTATTCTAATTCTGTGTCCGTATGTTGTTTACCGATTCGGAGTTTACGAATAATGAAACGAGACGATGAGTGCGCGATTTTTAAATAAGTATGATTGTATGGTAATGCCGTGTTGTGGACTTTTAACGGTCGCAAGGCCATCTTCATATCAAGCGCAGAGTCTTATTCATGTATCCGTTCATCGGTTTTGTGCAGCAGATGCAAAATATATTTCATATATTGCAAATACCTCGCATAGTGCTGCTTCGATCATTGCGAATTCTCTATAGTACGCTTTGAAAATTTCAAAACAAACAAACAAACTATTAGGTTTTTACCTCTATACCAGTGGTTCCCAAACATATTTGGCCCCCTTTCCAGAAAAAAATATTATACAGCGCCCCCTGGATTTTATTTTTACAGCCCCCCAAATACACCTTTGCCCATCACCGCCCACCTGGATCGCTGCAGCGGTTACATCCACTTTTGTGCTGTTTATTTGTATGTGGTTTGAAAGTCCTAGGTTAATCCGGTTTCAGGCAGTGTGAGATATTGGCGGAAAATGTTAAAAAATGTATATACATAAATTTAGTAGTATGTTTTGCAATGTGCTTGTCTCTTGTAATATTGATAGGTCAGTTGAAACGTATAATAGATAGGTTAGTTGAAAGCCAAAGGCAAGATTAAAGCTGGAAACTATTTATAGAGTTCCCATATTTTCCTTTATAAATGAATCGACGTTCAATAAATATAAATATATAACATAGAGTTTTCAATGACAGCACGGATCGTCATGCATTTACACTGAAACATAGCTGTAGCTACATATTTATCATCAATATTACGCTATAAACGTATTAAAGTGGTTGTACACTAACTAAATGGAAACTTGCCAAGTGACGCGTAAAGTATTTATAAGTAATTAAAACGTTTAAATTGGTACA